AAGCCTTCCGAAGAACCTCAACGTTTGGTCTGAGGCGTTTCCGTTTCGTGCCATCTGGCTTTACAGATTTTGTGCCATCAAAGCCATCTGTGAGCGGAAGTTGGGATGAACAACTCGCATATTTGCAGGAACCGAAATTCTGCTCGCAGGTAGGCTACGGGCCAGGCAGGCAAAGGCGTGCAAATGCAACCTGCAGCCTGCTTGTGTTCGCATCAATTGACTACCTGCATTCGCTCCACGTATGTCGGATTGCGTGTCCTGCTGCTGGAGTGCAATGCTGGTGCGCTTCAAAACACCTTGCACAACTCTAGTCACCAGCCCTCCTCCCGCAAAACTGTCGACCGTAGGATGCGCACTTCTATGCATTTTATCCAGGCACTGCGGTGGCATGAGTAACGGGAGGAGTTGGTGCTGCACTGCTGGCCATAATCTGTGCTCTGATGAGCATCGATGAGGCTCAATCCCAAGTCAATCCAATGTGCCGGTTGCGAACACAGAGTTTGTGGTTCGGACAAAATGGCTAGCTTATGCTTTCATGCCTACTGCACATGCTGTGCAGGTAGACCAGTCATTTGCGTGGGGCACGGGCCGCTTCTGCAAGTCCGCACGAGTCACGCAATTAAGTCCAACTGATTCACGTGACCTTTTTTCGACAGCCATTTCGCGCAGCCCCCATCATTCATGTCCATGCTCGACCGCAACCCATCCTCAAAAAAACACACACAATTTCGCTTCTGCTTCCTATTCCCCAAGCATCAATGTCCAACTGCTGGAGACCGTAATTTTGTGCATGCTCAACTGCATCTGATTGCCAGATATTCCTTAAGGCCATCGCTTGAGCCACTGCATGAGGATATTTCCGAGTGTATGTCAGACAAGCTAGTGTTGCCCACTCCGCGTCTGCGGGCTTGCATGCATTCAAGAAGCGGGAATTTGGGGTTCTGCGTTGAGGTTTCAAGGGTTATGACCCCAGACCAATGAACAGCACGGTGATGAAGGATTGTATTGTTTTGCCAATCCCACATATCCAGACAACTTAACTTTACTCCATGCCTTGACCAGCGTCCGAATGTGGCGCTTGGAAGCTTGTTGTGTGTCGCTGAGTGCTCAGCCAGCTCACGCAGGCGGAAGGGTCGGGGGCCGGGACACAGGTTCAGCGGTTGTTTTCCTCCTTTGAGGTTTTTGTTGCCAACTTCCAGCATCTCCTTGAGGTCTCTGTCAGGGCCTCTAAACACGCAAAGCATCCTTTAGCCTGAGCTTTTAGCCCTGGAACCAATTTGAAAAGCTAATGCCCCCCCTACCCACCGAATTCTATACCCAGAAGGAACAGGCACCTTATCAGCCCCACCTGAACAGGTTAGCCACTACCCCCCAAAACCGAAGCCAGAACCCTGCGTCCTTGAACCCTGACGTCCTATTTGTGCAGAATAGTTGGAACAAGAAGAGGTTTGGCAACACTGCGGAGGGTCTGACGTTCACAGTTGGTCGCCTCAAAGGGGCAGCACGGGTCTGCATATACCCCAGGTTTAGGATCTGCGCTTGGGGCTTAAGCTTTAGGGTTTACGTGGAGTACAGGGAACTACTTGCTACCGTAATCTCACTGGTCGAATGTCGATGGTTCTTGGTTGCTCAAAGCATCATTCTTGGGTCCTTGGACCCATGAGGCGGTGTTTGGGTTTATTACCCAGTTGTTCATCCCCTCACTCTCCATGTATAGGTTACCCCCCGTAATTGGTAGGGTTCTGAGTGCTGGTTGTCGTAGTCTGTACATCGCATGAACGTTGCAGTGCCCAACCATGCCTCGCATGAACGACAATCCCAAAACGAAATCGGGGTACCCTTTGTCACGAGTTGCATGAACCCCAAGTTTCTTCGTGATGCAGCCACCATTAACCGCCTTAAAAAAGGTCAAGGGCCCCAAGGGCCCATGTTTGAGGCGTACCCTACTTCCAGCCTTACAGTAGATACTAGAGTTCAAAAAACAGGAAGAAACCTCATACATAGCTTGATTTGGGGTTTGGGGGCTTTAGGATTTAGGGTTTGGGGCACTTGACCCCTTTCAGGTATACTCAATCACTCATTCCAATTCTTCTGCCATAGTAGGGACGCCAGGATCAAGGGCCGCTGGTGAAGTTCTGCATGAAAGTCGACCCCTTGAAGTCAATGTCTGTGTCTATGCACTGCATGTGGAGGTCAAGTATTCCTGCGTGCCAGGTGCAGCTCCGGAGCTTCGCCACGGGCAGGGATGTTGAGTTGCCATTCCGCGCTGCGGCAAAGGCCGTCAGTGAGTGGCGGTGCACTTGAGTCGGATAAATGTGCAAATCTATGCGGGTCGAGTTTCGCAATGATGGGAAGGGACGTCAGGGGCATAAATGGATTTACTGAAGGGGCCACGCAAGGCTCACGACAGCAGGCATTGCCTATCATCGTTTCACCGGGGTCAGGAATCAGGACACTCCGTTTTCTTGCAAGAAGAGTCATGAACTAGAGCTGTGATGTTGAAATCCAAGCTGCAAGGTCGGGGATCTCGAAAACTATGTGTTTGAGCTTAGCGAAGTTCGAGGTCAGATGCGAACATGTAGAAAAATCAACTTGCAAAATAAATTGGTGAATTTGCTTGCTGCACGTCAGGGAGCTCAGCGCTTTTGCTTGAGCTTGACTCGGAAGCATGAAGCTGCATCTCCACACGCCTGTCCATGCGTCACTAGCGCATCTGGAACCTTACGCACCATCCACTGCAGCTGAAAGCAGAGAAGCTGCATGTAAGAGCACCCTACTGTAATTGGTTGAATTAGATTGGAAGTTCAAAGTCCTGCCTAGCACCATGTCCGAGCACCATGACTCCGTGTGCTGGGTAAGTAGTACATATTTAACAAGAGGCAGGGTGGGATGCAGGGGTTGAACTGTGGGGAGGCCAATCCGTGCGAAGTATCCAGAATCAACGCCGTACACGCATTGAGTCGTGAGACGTGAGGCTGTCCGACAGGTTTCTTTGAATCTTTGTAAAGCTGGAGCGTCCGAGAGTGTTGTTTGAGGCTCGAGAGTGACCAGTAAAGCTGCATTCTCAGTTTAGTATTTATTTCTCTGCCCGAGCCCGAAATGGCAGAGGCGGGTGGGGTTTGTGAGTCTGTACGAGGATGTGTCCAGGACCATCCTGAACGGCCTCAAATCAAAAGCCTTTTCAGGTGGAGGAGTACGAGCGCGGTCATGGCTCCGGGCCACAGGGCACCCGCGAGATCAATCTGTGCAGCTTGGCGAGAGTTCATTTGCACGATTCCCCAAGTTCTTTTTTAGTGACGCTCCGTCTGAGGCTCTATCCGATT